GATGTTGTAGATTTGCTTGTAGTTGTTGGTGTGAAAAGGATGATGGAGTTAGTTTGGCTTACTGCTTGTCTATCTTTTATAGTTGTTGTGTTGCGCAGTGATGTTTCTAATTTTGTTTCTATAGGTTTAATCAAGAATCGTGTAGGTTAATTGCCGTAGTTTTGTTTTGTTTACTTTGCTTAGTTTTTGTCTTTCTGGTGAGTTTTTTAGTGTGTTAGTTTATATGCTTAGGTTTTTTTGAGTGTTTTTCTTTAGCTTCGGCTAGTATTAGTGTTTCTAATTATTTTTTGGTGATTAATAAAATTATTTTTTTTGGCCAAAAAGAAGAAGAAGAAGAAAGAATCAAATACGTCTAACTTTTTTTGACAATACAACAAGTATAAGACTATTAGGACAACTTGTGTTTATTTCATGAAGTGCAAGGAAACTTTGAAACTAAACACATGAAAAGAGAGGTTGTTGGAGGGAGGAGTGAGAAAAAATTAATACTTAACCTTATATATTTAATGTGTTTATTTTTAATTAAATTAAAATATATAAATCTTTCATAAATAATTTATTTTATAATAAATTTTTGTTATTAATTTTATTAATATATTAAAATTCACTTATTATAATTCAATTAAATATAAATATATTAAGTATATAAATCTTACCTATAATATAAGAATAATATAAGACGAAGTTAATTAATTTCAAATTTATCAATGAATAGTAGTTACTCTATATTTAAAATTATTAAAAAAAATACTCTTACATGACTTTCTAATTTTACTTTTTTTTTTGCTTAAGTTAATAACCTCAACAAATTATATTTTAAGAATAAATAAACAAAATAAAATTAAAAAATCATTAATTCCTTTGACAGATTTTTGTGTCATTGCCTCGGTGGAGCGTATATGGGTGTGTGTGTGTGTGTGTGTGTGTGTGTGTGTGTGTGTGTGTGTGAGAGAGAGAGAGAGAGGCCATGAATAGACTGGGAAACATAAAAAAAGGACAAAATGGAGAGTGGGAGGTTTGAGAAAGCTCTATTATTGCAGGTACTGTGGGTGATGCTTCATCTTCCCCAGAATTGTTCAACTTTCCCCCCAGATTTCCTTTTCGGCACTGCTTCTTTTGCTTACCAGGTTCTTCTCCTTCTTTTGTTCTTGTTCTGTGATTTGATGTTGTTGATTCATATAAAAATGGTCGATGGTGGCATATATATAGTATGAAGGTGGGTACTTAGATGATGGCAAAGGACTCAACAACTGGGATGTCTTCTCTCACCGCCCAGGTCAAGCCATCCTTCTTCTTCTTCTTCTTCTTCTGGTTTTTGCTCTTGCATCTGTAACCAATTAAAATGAAATTATATCCCTTTTTTGCTTTTTATGTTCCACTTAGTTTAGATTAAGATTGTCGGTCTAAGGTACTTTGATTTTGATTTGCCCTTAATTTGGATTCAGAGAAAAAAAAATTAAACAATACTTTTAAAAAATACTAAAAATAGTAAAAAAAAAGTTTATAGTTTTAGGCCATTTTTTTTCATGTAATATATATATATATATACATATGTATATTTCTCTGTTGACCTTTCCCCCTCATCGCCTGCAGGAAAGATAACTGATGGAACCACTGCTAACGTGACTGTTGACCAATACCATCTCTATCTGGTAGGTATATAGACATGTGTAAATACTAAATACACATAGATGTATCTATTTCAGCTTTGGTCATACTCGTCATTGATTACACCCCATAAAAATTATTACATAGAGTGGGTTGCTTCATATATTAATCATGCTCCGTCTAATAACTATATCAGGTAATTATAAATATAAATTGATCTTGTCAAAAATAAAATTATTAAAATAATGTATATATATATATTTTTTGACAAAGGATGGATGGCATGGTATACAAACCTTAAAACGCGAATGAATTATTACATCATTGACAATTATATTCCTCCAACTTTTTTTATAAATTATTTTTACTAACCTCATCAATGCCAACATAAAAGAAGAAGTGTGTAAAATTTTAAATATGTTCTTATATAACAAATTCAAAAAATTATGTTATGTAACTTTTTTCTTTTATGAAGGATTATTTTAAAAATACCTTTTAAATATTACTTAAAAAGCAGTACTAAGACTTATAAAAGGAATCAAATAAACATTTTAAAATGTAACTTATATATGGGATTGGAAGGAGTAATTCATATCTAAGGGAACTTATTCAATCCTCATATTTGATAATTATTATGTAAATTATATTATTTAGGTTTCTTCCTCAATAATAATTTGTTGTATTAAAAATTATGTAATTGATGTTGATCCCTTTCTTTTCTGAGCATAAAAACAGGAGGATGTAGATTTGATGGAAGATATCAAAATCAACAGCTACAAGTTTTCAATTTCATGGGCGAGAATATTACCAAGTATGTTTCTCTACTCTAACAAACTATACCAAAAGTTATTCCCACCTAATTGATATGGCTATATATGGATTTGATTTTTGTGAGTGGCCTAAGCCCACTTACTAAAGACATATGTCGCGTGTTATAATAATAATTGTAATTGAACGTTAATAAGAGATTTTGTTATGTATATAAAACTTAAGAAGTATTAAATCTTAAATTTTTTGAGGGGACAACATATGTGAGAAGTGTTTTGATTGTGAGTATTGTTTTGAATTTTTAAAAGAAAATGTATCTTGATAATTTTTAAGTAGGGATGAAATTAATAACTATAACTGAGACATTCATTGAATGAGAGGACTAAGATTACTCATTGAATCCAAACTGGCTAAAGAAGAAGTATAATCAACTAATGAGCAGATTTTATGTATGATTGAGAACAGAAGGAAGATTTGGTGAAGTGAACTTGGCAAGCATCAACTACTACAACGATCTCATTAATGCCCTACTTCTCAAAGGTTTTATTTTCTTCTCAATTCCTTTAATTATAAGACCATATTCAGTCCATTTCTCCGACACGACCTCGTTTTATTATTCTTCAAACTTTCCTAAATAATCACAGGGATCCGACCATTTGTAACAGTGTCACACTTAGACTACCCTCAAGAATTTGAAGACAGATATGGAGGTTGGCTTAGTCCCCAGTCCCAGTAAGTCAGCCATAATATGCGAATTGTATTGTAGTCTCTCTCTGTGTGTCTCTTGTAGAAGAAGCTCATTTAGGTCACTCTATTAATACAGGGAAGATTTTTAGTACTTTGCAGAAGTGTGTTTTAGATCATTTGGGGACAGAGTGAAGTATTGGGTGACCTTCAATGAGCCAAATCTTTGGGTCCCATTTAGTTATCGTAAGGGGAAGTACCCACCAAATCGTTGCTCTGTCCCTTTTGGGAATTGCAGTGAAGGAGATTCAGAGAAGGAGCCCTTTGTTACTGCCCATAATATCATCCTATCTCATGCTGCTGCTGTACATATTTATAGAACCAAATACCAGGTACCAATTACGAGGTTGACACTGAAACACAAATTGATCTAACGTCTTGAATGCATTATCTGAGCCTGAATAGATAGATACAGTGCATGTTTAGTTTCAACATTGGAAACTGCCTAAAAGTGTGATTTTGATGTCTTCTAATATGAACAATAAGTGAAACTAAACGCATCCATACAGATCAAGATTCTAGGTTTATCATATCATTAAATACTAGGTGAACTTGACCAGTTGAACCTTGCCCTAACCAATTCAATAAAATATTTTGTTCATAACCGGTCTAATTATAGTGTAATAATAGTTTTGATCACTTACTTTTGAGTAAGTGCTTTGAATAGTTTGATCTTCAATATTTTGAGGTTTACACATGAAAAACACAGATCTCAAATCAGAGTATGAATGACTGTATTATTGATGGCATATCCAGAAGGAGCAAGGAGGGCAAATAGGCTTTGTGTTATACTGCGATTGGTTTGAACCATTCAGCAATTCTACAGTAGACAAATTGGTTGCTGAAAGAGCTCTATCATTCACCATAAAATGGTAAAGCTCCCCACAATTGATTTCTTTTTTTTTTTTTTTGGTTTATCTGTAGAACACAAAAAAGACCCAATATTTTGATACTCTTACATGTGTAAATCCTTCACTGCATGCAGGTTCTTGGACCCCATTCTTATTGGAAAATACCCAGAAGAAATGAAGAAGGAACTCGGAACCGCATTGCCCAAATTTTCCTGGAAAGACACAGAAAAACTGAAGAATGGATTAGATTTCATTGGCATCAATCACTATGCAAGCTACTATGCCCGTGACTGCATCTCTTCACTCTGTGAACCTAGGGATGGAGGCTCAAGATCAGAAGGTTCATATTCACGAACTGCACAAAAAAATGGTGTCCCTATGGGAGAACTTGTGAGTACTCAAATTCTCCTCAGAAAAATTTATTGTTTTAATCTAAAAATTATTTTCCCCCCTTTTTCCTTTCAATGACCAATCCATTTCTGAAGGTTCTACTATCATAATACAGACACCATTTGAATGGCTAAATGTTTATCCACAAGGCATGGAGAAAATGATTACCTATTTCAAAGACAGATATAACAACACTCCAATCATCATAACAGAAAATGGTAATTAAGAAGAAACCTATCAGCAAGTTCTTCTATCGACTTTCTCTGCATTTTTTGACCATCCAAACGTTCTGTATAGGGTATGGAGAACCTAAAGATCCAAGTAAAGCCCAGGAAGAATATCTCAACGACGTTGCAAGAATTAAATACATGGAGGGTCACTTGAACAACGTTTTGGTAGCAATAAGGTAAGAACACCTAAAATCAAAATGAATGTCTAGACCACTCAAGCATAGGCACTACTGACACAAAATAATATAATTTATCAGGAAAGGAGCAGATGTGAGGGGTTACTTTGCATGGTCCTTGCTGGACAACTTTGAGTGGTTATATGGATTCAGAGTAAAATTTGGACTGTACCCTGTTGATTTTGCGACATTGAAGAGAACTCCAAAACTATTAGCGAGTTGGTACAAGCAATTCATTTCAAAGCATAAAGTTTATGGCATTGTCCAGAAATATAAGAGGGAAAAGAGAGAGTGCAGCAAACAGTTGAAGGAAAACAGCATAATCAGAAAACTAGAGCCAGAGCCCTAGAAGCAAAGCTTTGACGAGTAACTTGGTGAAACATCTGTATTTCTTTCTGTTACAATTATCCAAAATTTCCAGTTGTTCTTGAGAAAATGAATAGTTTAGAATTTAAATTATATGAAATTTAAACTTATGAAATAAAATTTCTCTCGCACCCTGCTGTCCAAATTAAAGTATCCAGCTAGCATGTAATCCCGATTGTTTTTTTTTTTAAATACATTATATAATAAGCAAAAATGATAAATAAATCTCCTTAAAATAGGTAAAAAGCAAAATAGTATCATAAAATGAAAAAATTACTCTAATTTTTTTTAAAGATTTATTTTTCATAATTTTTTTCTTTTTGCAAAATTACGTTTCTAACTCCTTACAGAATAATCAAACGCGTAGTTATTAAAATATAAACTAAACTTGTCAATAACAAATTTAAAGTTATTAATATAAGAAGTATAATTACTATTACAAGATTAAATTAAAGTTATAACTAACTGTGTTGTTAATATTTAAATTGAAGTTAAATAAGCTGGAGTTGTTAATATTGAAAACGGCCTTGTTACTACATTACTAATAACTATGCTTAAAGTAAGAAATGTAATTTCACAAAAATTATGTCAAATAAATTCTTAAAAACTTTAAAGTAATAACTGCATTTCATGATACTTATTTGTCATTTATTTATTTTGATGGATAATATTTGTTATTTGCGGGACAAATTTCAATGTATTGTTCGGTTTATCGAACATGTGAACATCCCTAAACCTGAGCCGTTTACCAATATGCTGCTGGGGAAGAAATAAACAAAACAATAATTTAAGATCACTTGCAGGCGACCACGAGGCGGCCTTTATACTCTTCCCCACGCCCCCACGCCCCCCCCCCCCCAACAAAAAACACGCGCTGGCGCTAACAAAGCAGCCATTGTTGACGGAGGAGGAGGAGGAGGCATGCTAATGGGGTTGGTGTGGGAATTGGTGAAAAGAGCAGTGCTAGTGCACATGCTGTTGCTTCCTCTGCTCTCTTCAAATGATCATAAAGCAATCTCAGTTCTTTGCTTTCATCATTCTTCTCACAGTAATTTCCCCACCCACTTTCTCTTTGGCACTGCTTCCTCTTCTTACCAGGTTCTTCCTTCTCCTTTCTTTCTCTCATCTAATCATATATGCTTAAGTCATTCTCAAGAATTGATGTTCTCAAATACTAATCCTCAAATCATCTTCTTCTTTAACAGTACGAGGGAGCATACTTGAGTGATGGCAAAGGGCTTAGCAACTGGGATGTTTTCTCTCACATTCCAGGTATTCTCAGCTTTACACATCATGCAACATATTCAAATTACAAAACACAACATTACATAGTACTATTGCAACTTAGAAACCTTTGTATCAGTACTGCCTCTACAACTCATTTACCTATTTTTTTTCAACTCTACAAATTAAGAGAAGCTTGTATTTTGGACTGTACTGAGTATATACAATTGCAACTTCATGCTTCCATGTGTATGAGTTTCACTGCAACAAATTAAACCATGTCCTCTTCTCATTAATGGTTTCGTTCAAAGACCTCAACTTTTAATTTCCCTTTATCGATCTGTAGCTACCATGTGTCTATTACTGTATTATTTCATTTCATTATCAATTATTGCAGGTAAAATAATTGATGCCAGTAATGGGGACATTGCCGTTGACCATTATCATCGCTACCTGGTATTCTTCATTCCCTGCATATGGCGAGACTCACGAGTTATCTTTAATTTCTTTTATGTTCAAAGATATATAATTTACATATTATTATATATCCAATTATTTTCTTTTAACAGCATTTCCAATTATTTATCAAAAGCAAGAGGATTCGCTTTCCTAACACAGATGGAACCACTGCTGCGATTGGATTTAATTTATTAATCACGCGTGACATGTGATCCAAAATTTATTTATGAATAAAATTACAGGAGGATATTGAGCTGATGGACGCACTCAAAGTCAACAGCTATCGGTTTTCCCTCTCTTGGGCAAGAATTTTACCAAGTATATATACTTCTCTGTCATTTCAGTTCAATCAATATATATATATATATATATACTCTCTCTCCATTTAAAAGTATAAAGTATTTTTAATCGAATTTCATTCACTAATAAAGTAATTACCTACTTTTAAACTAATACCATTTTTTCATATTTATTCCTATTAAGCATCCTACAATAAATATAAAGTCATTCATCAATAGAAGCACTTTTAAAAAAAGGCAATAATTACATCTCGAAAGACTAAAAATATCTTATATTTTTTAATGGAGAGAGTATATATTTATATTTATTTTTCCAATTTCATTTCAATTTTGAATGTAATCTCAAGTATTTGAAATTTTTAAAATCAAACTTTAGTAAATGTAAGTTTATATTCTAATTAAATAATATTATTTGGAACAGGAGGAAGATTTGGAGCAGTCAACATGGGTGGCATCCACTTCTATAACAGATTAATAGATGCTCTTCTGCTCAAAGGTTTTGTTTCAATCTTCAATTTTTTTTCTCTTTTTCTTTTGGAACGTTAAAAACCTTCAATTTTCCTTTAAAAGAGCAGAATCTAATAAAGAATAAAGAAAGCAAATGAGTCCATTTCCTTGACTGGGAAACTTACAGGGATCCAACCCTTTGTGACTCTGACTCACCTTGACATGCCTCAAGAGCTCCAGGATAAGTATGGAGGTTGGCTTAGTCCCCAATCCCAGTAAGCAATTATTATTTTCTCCTCTTCATTGATTATTAAAGGAACTTAATGCGTGTAAGTTTTATATATGTAATCTCAGTGAAACATGTAGTGTGATTTTTCTGAGGACAAGTGCAAGTTTCATATGCAGTAACAGTATATTGATCCAGAACCAAACTTTACTCGCATGGATGTGCAGGGAAGAATTTGCATTTTACGCAGAAGTTTGTTTCAAATGGTTCGGAGACAGAGTAAAGTACTGGACTACCTTCAATGAGCCACATCTGCAAGTTTCATTCGGTTACCGTACAGGAAAATTTCCACCAGGTAGATGCTCTAAGCCATTTGGAGATTGCATTGAAGGAGACTCTGAATCTGAGCCCTTCATAGCAGCCCATAACATTATCCTCTCCCATGCTTCTGCTGTTGATGTCTATAGATCCAAGTACCAGGTAATAGTGACTCTCAAGTCATCTCACTAAGTCCTTACAACTAGATGATTGTGCAATAACTGTGTTGTGGATGAAATATCAAGAGGGAACAAAAGGGGACAATTGGCATAGTCTTACAAGCTGAGTGGTATGAACCAATCAGCAATTCTACAGCCGACAAAATGGCCTGTGAAAGAGCACAATCATTTACTTTTAATTGGTATGTTCATGTACCCTCTTTCAATTTTGTTCACTTCATTCAGCCCCATCACGAAGCAGCCACATGAGTTGTCCCATCCACAAATACTTCATCATGATGCAGGTTCTTGGACCCAATCATCTTTGGAAAGTACCCTTTTGAGATGGAAAAGATTCTGGGGACTATATTGCCCAAACTTTCCAACACTGAAATGATAAAACTCAATAAAGGATTGGATTTCATAGGCATGAATTACTATACCAGTTACTATGTCGAAGATTGCATTTCCTCAACATGTGAACCTGGAACAGGAGTCACTAGAACAGAGGGTCTGTACCAAAGAAGTACAGAGAAAAACGGCGTGCCTCTTGGAGAAATGGTAAGTAGCCTCAACTCTATGATGACCATTCCGTTGAACATGTCTATTTATGATCATTTGATTTCTTCCTTTTGCATTACCTGGCCAATTCTGAAGAATTTACAATCATGCAGACCTCAGTTGGTTGTAGTTACCCGCCAGGCATGGAAAAAGTTATCACATACGTGAAAGACAGATACAACAACATTCCAATGTTCATCACAGAAAATGGTGAGGAAAAAATGAATAGCTGTTTAGTTTCATCCAGACTCTGTGCATTTATCTACAATCTAAACCATTTTTTTAGGATATGGTGAAAAGGATAATCAAAATTCCACCTTGGAAGAACATGTTAATGACGTTAAGAGAATGAAGTTCATGGAAGATCACTTGGATGCCCTGCTAACAGCAACAAGGTAAGAATATTAAATAAACAAAGACGGCAGCACAAATGTCAAGCAGATCATTGGGATACACTTTTCTTGTTCATCATATTTTGCCATTACATTTACTATAAATTTGAGTAACGAAATGCTGATATTTACATCGAGACTAATGAAACACCGGCGAATAAACAAATAAATTATGGCAGCTTTTGACCTTGCTTTCTGTTCTTTCGTTCTCTCTTACCATGTGACCAGGAAGGGAGCAGATGTGAGGGGATATTTTGTCTGGTCTTTACTTGACAACTTTTCATGGACACGTGGCTATACAAGAAGATATGGGCTATACCATGTTGATTTTTCTACTCTGAGGAGAACTAAAAAATTATCAGCACGTTGGTATAAGCAATTCATTACAAAGCACACAACTAAGGGTTTTTGGCCGGCACATGACAGGGAACAAGAAAATCAACACAAACAATTTGAGGCAAAAACCAAGCTCAAATCATTTCTACCGGAGCCTAATCAGCTTCACTTCAATAATTTGTGACTTTTCTCTAGGCAGAATATATGAACTTCATTTTCTCTTCATATGCTAGTACACCATCTTATTCTAAATGTATGATCTAGTTGAGAAGTTTGATTTGATCCTAAATGTAAGATCTCAATCTCTTTTGTCTCCCACATTTATCATTTTTCTCCAAATTATCTTATTAATTGCGCACATTAATATAAATGATAAAAAAGAGGAGTATTTTAAGGAAACCAACACACATTTTTTCAATACTATCTAACTTAACTTTGTTAATTTATATAAATTAGTTACCTAACTCTCACATTTAAAGTCGAAAAGGAGTACTGAATTCAGGAATCACCTATACTCTGCTTCGTCTGTTTAATTTAATTTTTGAAGGAGTGGATGCTGGCATACATGATCCTGCACTTAACAAAACGCCCTCTATTGTCTCCTCATTTTCATTTATATTGTTGAACCTATGAATAGCCTCAACCTCAACCTATTAATAAGTGTCACACAGGAAGTAATTTATAAACAAAGCTGTCTTGCGCTTGCATGCCAAACAGAAACAGTACTAGTATTAAAGACAACACAGATCGTTTTCCAACTACATGTGCTCGTTACTGCCAGACAATGCAATGGATTACTATAGTTCTGATACAATACCAAAGTCCCAGCAAGTCAGTAATTCGCAGGACTCTACATAACAGAATTCCTCAACACCATCAATGCTTCAGGTTTACCTCCACACAAGCTCACACTGAAAATAGGAGCACCAGTCATGCTTGTACGAAACATAGACCAAGCTGCTGGTCAGTGCAATGGAACTAGATTGCGACTCACTTTCCTAGACAAACATGTTCTCAAGGATTTTACATGAAATGGATTAAATCCAAATCAAGCGGTTCTATTGCACCGTATGGACATGAATCCATCTAAGTCTACCTTACCCTTCCTCATGCAACGGAGGCAATTCCTAATAATACTCTCTTTTGCATTGACCATCAACAAAAACAAAGAATAAACTTGTATATAAAAGTAGAACTATAAGTAGTGATATGGTGATGACACGCGTCACTTATAATTTTATTTTTAAAACATAAATAAATAAATATAAGACTATCACACTTCCAAAAATATCTAATGCTTATCCCAACTTTCGATTAACTCATTTATAATTTTAAATTTTAAATTTAAAACTTAAAAATACTCCAATAAGTAAATTGTGTGTAATTTCCTGATCTTTAAAATCTCTCTATTGTCCCAACTTCTTTTGATAATTTTAAATTTAAAAATCTTATGAAATTACTCATAATTTTAAATTCTTATTTTAAAAATATCACAAAGTTTGTTATAATAAAAAAAATTCTGATTAACTAACCTACCTAAAAATTCGTTGCATTATTTTCACTTCCCAACTTTTTATTTCTAATTTTATATTCTCAAAATCAGATGCCACTTGTTTTAATGAAGTTTTTATTTTTTGCACATACAAGTGATGGAGAAATATTTAGAATCTCTCTATTATCCCAACTTCTTTTGATAATTTTAAATTTAAAAATCTTATGAAATTACTCATAATTTTAAATTCTTATTTTAAAAATATTACAAAATTTTTTATAATGAAAAAATTCTGATCAACTAACCAACCTAAAAATTCTTTGCATTATTTTCACTTCCCAACTTTTTATTTCTAATTTTATATTCTCAAAATCAGATGCCACTTGTTTTAATGAAGTTTTTATTTTTCACACACACAAGTGATGGAGAAATATTTAGATAGACTAGGTGTATCATGTTATTTGTGATTTGTTCAATTAAAATACTCTAAGTAATTTAAGTAAAATCTTGTGTGATATTTTTAAAATTAATTTTATTTTTATAACAAAATGTATATTTGATTTCTTATCTTTTTTCTCTCTACTATCATTAATATCAGAATCAATTTATATTTAATGCCACCTAAATGTCATGTTTTTATTGGACAGATCATAAATAATATGGTGACCTAATTTATCTAAATATTTCTCCAAATGATATGGGATAGTTATTTAAGTCTCCACTATCAAAGAAATCTTTTAAAAAAATTTTAAAATTGCAAGCATCATAGCTTCCACATTCTTGAAAATCTCTCCACCAAGTTGTAACTTCCCAACTTCTTATTTTTAAATTTCAATTTCAATTTTAAAAATTAGGATAAAGTGTAAGCTTCTTAACTTCTTATCCTTAAAAATTTCTCCACTATGTTAGTATCAATAACCCGAACTTGGCTTTTCTCCATTGCCCTCTCCATTTTTCTCTTCACTTCTCATCTCAATCATTGAATCTATTTTTTAATAGTTGAAATTATTGTTTCATAAAATTAATTGATTCATTTATTTTTCATAAAATATCACATTTTAATAATAATTTTATGAAACATTAAATCTCAACCATTCAAAAATGGATTCAATGGTTGACATGGGAAGTGAAGAAAAAATGGGAAGTGAAAAAAAAATAGAAAGAAGTCAAATTCCAATAACCCCATGCATCAAGTGTCACATGGAATTTTTATTTTCCGGATCCTTTCATTTTATTATATATATATATATATATATATATTCAGCTGAACGTGGGGTGTGCATGTAATTTGTGATTTCATAATTACTTCTTACAAAATAAATGTCATTTATTCCTTTGAAACTGATTATTCTAAGCATAAACCCATGAGATGGGCACTTTTGAATTTGAAAGAGGAAAAGCAAAGAACGTGCCCTGAAGAAGAGGTAACATGGCGAAAGGTAATTTTCAATTAGTAGGCGTACTTTCAAAAATAACATGTATGATTCAGAATTCCTTTGTTCTTATGTATTATATATATCTTATATAGGGCTAAATTGCAATTAGGAACTTCTGCAAATGTTCAATCCTCTCAAACATTATGGACTTAGTTTCTTCTCTTTTTTGTGTTTCTGTTTGGGTTAAAATATAAAACATCACTCGTAGGTCATAAAGCTATTTGGGTTGAGTGACTGAAGAGTCAAGCCCAATCTGAACAAAAGGGCCAACCCCAAGCTGAATAGAAGGCTACAATAGGATGAGCATGCTAAAATCTCACCAATTACAAACATTAGATCGTTGGCACATAAAGACACGATTCCAAGTAATCTCAAAATCCACAGAAGCAGTATCATTATGTTCGAGTATCTCTATGAGACAGTTTGGTTACCAAAAATGGAGAATATTGAGTAAAAATTGTGTCATGAGTCTCATAGCATCTTTGATTCTTTGGCAAAACGTTCTAGATCTTAAAGGAGAAGTTATCATCACTCTAACACTATAAATAGAATACGAAAATACAAAAGAAAGACAATCAACACTCAACAAAAACTCGCATTCTATACTCATAGCTTTTTAAGTTTAATAGTTAGTCTTTTACCTTCAATTAATCTTTTCACATTGCAATAAAAATTAAAAACACTTGTTTTATCAAGTCTTGCGTATCTTTTATATTTGAGTGAACTGTGGTAAGAGAGTTTAGAACCCTTTTATTATCAATTGAGACTCAATGTCTTTGACATGCCTAGACATTTATTGTTTACACACAATTAGTTTCTTTGAAAGAATGCAAGTGAAGCCTTCTTTTATATAAACATTGTATCTCTAGGTTAATCTGAGGCTCCAAGATGGTTTCTCTCACAACTTGTACACCTCATATTTGCTCAATGAGGTTCTTGTATTATTGTTTGATCCTTCAAGTTTAAGTTTCTTATCTTCTTGTGTCATCATTTTAAATTTTGTTGGTAGAAAAATAAAGCGCATGAGGTATATAAAAACGAAAAGCTTAGACACTATATATGTTACTATGCGTTTGTGATCAATTGAATGGCAGCACGATGTTGCAAATTCATCATGCCTATTTGGAAAAGAAGTTAGAAGCAGGAGGGTCTGGTGCATGCTGCAAATTTAGACGAGTAAACGAGCATAATGGATGTTACAAACACATTGTTTATATACTTCTGGTGTAAAAGAGATTAAGTATAGAAGATTGATGACATGCAAAGCTGACTATTATATTTTCTCTTTGTAGGATATAACTTTGTATGTTTTATTCATCCTATTGTTGTTGCCATACTTTTCCACTTGTATGCATTATAAAATAAAATGAAGTTGCTATTTTTCTTACTTTATTTTTATATAATTTTAAAAAAATCCCAAGTCTATTACACACAACAAAGCACGTGTTGTTTTTTCTCATATATTATTCTATAGATTGATTTATTTGTGAAGGAAATATCCTTTAATTTATATGAAAAGCATATTCTTTTTATATGCCTTAGGAAAGGCACTGGACCACCCATTAAATTTGTTTAAGTAGAATTGACGCTATAATTTTAACTTTTTTTTTCACTTCTATTTTCATTTTAATCACTTATATCTCTTTACATTTATCTTGTCCTTGGTAGGTTTATAATGAGATATAAATAACTATTTTTTAATATTTTTTTAAAGATAACTATTGTTTTCTCTTATAAATTGTATTATACTAAATTATATTTGCCTCTTGTGCATTGCGAATTCTCATTTGATATATTGGGTACCTTTTGTGATACTCTTTCACTTTTTTTACACGCAGTTGTTGTTAGTTTATAGATTTTATATATGATTTTACATATTTGATGGAAGGAAATGGTTCCATTGTTTCTTTTTACTATAAGTTGTAGCTTGTAATTGTAATTTGTAATTATTTTTTAATGAAATAGATTGTAATTTTAATTTGTTATTCCTTTTTATTTGTGGATTATGTGTTTTCTTAACTTCACTATTCAAAGATTGCATTTTCTTTGATTCAAATGTTCCAAATATGAGGACTTCCCTTTGTTATATGTATTATATTCAAATATGTGAGGTATGTTAGTTTATTTTTGAGGTCCCTTTGTTCCAAATGCTCTAGATGCTGTTAAATGTATCAAAATTTGAATATTATATATTTACTTTAAAAGTTATTTTAAACATTAGTAAGTTAAATTTAAAAGTTATTCACTTAATAATATTTTAAATTTTACGTTTTTATTAAGTATTATTATTTATTTAAATAATATTTTATTATCTTAACATTCCATTTGTTGCATAGGAGGTTAGCACCGACGTGCTTATTACTAGAGAAGATCTAGGCCATTTAGATTTT